TTATTTATATGTAACATCGTGTATATATATGTGTGTAACACTCAGTATGTTTAAGTATAACACTTAATATTACATGCATCGGACTATATTTTTTAAATGTTACATTTAAGCAACTGGGTATTACATATTCAAATGAACAATATTACACAGAAATACAAAAAAAAACATTATCAGACTGGTCTGGGTATCGGACTTAAAAGGTAATTCATATATATATGTATATATAAATATAGCTAGATTATTCTAATGATTATACTAATTTGATATACTTGTATATAGTGATATTGCCGGAGAAGAAACGTGATTCCATTTTGATGGGCTTACTGAATGGTGATTGCGGTTATTTAATAAAGCCAATCACAAGTGAGTCTCTTGGACAAATGTTGGAGCAAATGTCGATCAATAAAGAGAATGGAGTAAGAGTTCTAGTTGTGGGAGATGCCGAATCGCAAGAGATCACCGATACTATTCCCCCAAGAGATCATGAACTACAAGAAAACTTTCCAGCAACGTCTAATGAAGCAGATGCCTCATATGATGTCACCAAAGCGAAAAAGCCGCGGCTTGTTTGGACAGCAGAACTTCATAACAAGTTTGACATGGCTGTGAAACAACTTCTCCCTAAAAGTATGGGTCATCTAGATAACGTTACTCATCATCATTAATGGAGTTGAAATACTTTTCTTTTTTTTTTTTTTTTTTTTTTGGAGTTTAAGTTACAATATGTATTTTTTATTATCCACTTATTATTTTGAATTTGCAGATGCTGTCCCTAAGAAAATCTTGGAATGCATGCAAAACATGGGTGTCACTAATCTCACTAGAGAAAATGTTGCCAGCCATCTCCAGGTACGTAATTATAGCTTACCTTTATTTGTTTATTGAAAACCATATTTACATTCAAAACTATCATAAAATATATATATATATATTTTTTTTTATTGATTTATATTACCTCAGAAATACCGTATCCACCGTAAGAGAGATCATGAGGGTCGAAGAAAAGCCCTTGATGATCTACAAAGAACGAGTGTGGAGCAATCTCATGCATCAGATGGAATGTTCGAATCAATCCAATCTTATACTGGTCCAGATCAACTTCCGTTTCCAAGTCTCGCACTGGATTCGAACTCCAATCATGATGCCCCCGATCTTCCCAATCACGCGAGTATTAATCCTTTGGACTCATCAGTACAAGCAATGGTATCATCACATAAAAAATTAATGGCGAATCAATTAAGTGATCACAATGATGGTACAGTACTGGTTTACAATAACTGGACAGTACCAGCCATGCAGCCTAATTTGCAAACCAATGAAACTCCAGCTCAGTACTTTGGGATTAATACTAATATTACTGATCGTCAGTATTGTCAATCGAGCGAAGCTGGACCGAGCGGGCAAATTATGATTGATGGAGCTGAAAATATTGGAAATTGGTCTTTCGATTTCAGTGAATGCGAGAATATTAATGTTGCTGATACAGTTAATTGTTCCATCGAAAATAATGCTGCAGTGCTGGAATATCTTAGAATGTCCAGACAATACAATGGTATTCCTGATCTTCAAAGTACTTCTTCTGATCGGATGAACTCTAATGGTACCATTTATGGAAATAATAATTCTTTCGTTGCTGGACCTGTGGCTGGTGAAGAATATTATGTCAATTATGGAATTAATGCTCCATATTGCACTGATATTCACGTAGATGGGAATGCTTATAATAGTTACCAAAATTTGGTTCAGCCTGAGCAACGCTATGATGGAAACGATTTCATGCAAAAGCCATTCATACAGGTTTGTTTTCTATTGTGATTACTAATTGAATGTCTGTCTGTCTTCTTGTTAAATTTGGGATATATGAAAAATTGACCCTGCGTAAAAGCTTCTTTTCAATAAATGCCCCTAGTTTTGTTAATCTTAAAAAGTTTTAAAGAATCAATAATTTACATGATCAATTAGTTATAAATTAGGCATACTCTGATAAACTAATAACTATTTATAATAAAAAAAGAATTAATTATTAATCTATGGATTGGAAAATCCGCATAGAGTAGATTTTTGAATAAGTAATTTCATTATTTCTCTGATTTTTAATGGATGACATTACTGAGATAAAAGTTTGTGTTTTCTTGCAGCAGTCTGGCTCCGGATTGGCTAAAACCAAATGATTACTCTAGAATCCTTTCAATAAGACTTTTAGTTGTATGGATCACCAACATCTTTCGTTCAGTTTGTACTTCTTTTCTTTCGCAAGATATATTTAGTGATGAACAACATTTGATAGGAGGTATGAATCCACTTTGCAGCTTTTCTTTTTATTTCCCCTTTTCCCATTGTGAGCTCCTAGCTAGTAACTATTGCATCACATTTTCAAACTTATAACATTTTTGTTGAGGCGTTTACTGTCTTTACTAGTGCTGAAATTTTAGATGGGCCGCCCGCGACTGCCTAAAAAATCTAATTTTAAGCCCGATGCCCGAGCCCGCCCGCCCGCCCGAGCCCGAGAAGGCCCATGGACGGGCCGCGGGCCTGGTCTTGGCTACCCGAGCTCGGTCGGGCAGCCCGAGCCCTCCCAATTGGCCCGAAAAAAATATTTTTTTATATATTTTATTATATATTTAAAATTTTATAATATTAATATATATTATATATAATCTACTATTATTTAGTAATGGTATATAAATAATTATTAAGTTATTTTGTGTTAAAATTATATAAAAACTAAAACCAACACACATTATTAATACAAATACACAATGCAATAAATTAATTTTGTATATTAATTTTTAAATTTGTAATTCATGATTGTCTCATTAAAAAGCTAACAAAAAAAAATCCAATTGGGATAACAACTTGGTAAAGGAAAAAAAGTGCAATCATTTTGTCACGAATTATAAATTTTACAAACTTACAAAGTCTAAATATTACAATTACAATATCGAAAGCAAATACATATTTACAAATTATAATTTAATTCGAAGTACTCAATTGCTTTAGTATTTGCACTAGCATTATCTAATGTTATAACCATTACTTTATCTCTTAATCTAAATTCATCAATTACATTTAAAATTGTATTATATATTAAATCGGCGCTATGTGATCTTAAAACACATTTAAAACCTAATATTCTTTTATCTAAATCAAATCCTTTAAAGTAATGTCCGGTTACAGCTAAATAATCTTTATTGGCAACGACAGACCAAATTGGTGCCGTTAACGCAACGCAACCGCTAGTCGAGTGTAAAAGGTTTATTAGTGCTTCTTTTTTTTAAAATAATTTTAACAAATCTTTCCTAAGAGTAATTTTTAAAGTGAATTGTGTATTAAGATTATGTACAATTTTAATATATCGTTGCCAATTAGGATGCTCTACAAAAATAAGTGGTTGATCTAATGCAGTTATCATTCGCGCAACTTCCATACGATCTACTTGCGGATCGTATTTTCAAGTGGTTAGACCACCGGTTGCATGATAAAAAGATAATTGTGTTTTGCGGAGTTCGGCTCCGTTAGACTGGCTAAGCTTTTGAAGACACTTTTCAGAGTGTCTTCTCAAGTGTGTTGTGCCGTGAATAGTGTCACATTGTAATTTAGAAAAATAATATTTACACTGAGTTATATGTTTAGTGTTACCGTCATTGTCGATCTCTTCAATTGTGTCGAAGTGATCCCAAATTGTTGAGGTGCACTTACATTTTCTCTTGGAGGTTGCAACACTTACAGATGTAGTAGCACTTGTACTCGCCGGTTCTCCACGCCCACCACCATTGTGACCTTGACCTCCAGTACGTCCACCACGGCTCGAATTAACAGGTTCCTCAGTTGGTTGTGTTTGCAATTCCTACGTAATAAATTCATTAATATGAAATCAAACTCGGACGGGCGGCCTAATGGACCTGCCCACCGAGCCTAAAAAATTCGAGCTTTGGGCAGACCCGCCGGCCCAAAGTTTCAGCAAGTGGTCTTTACATTAAAATCTACCAAAACAAACGAACAAAAAGAATTGCTTGAATTAGTTTTACTTGTTTGGTTTTAGCATATAAAATAACCATTCCATGATTCTTCAAATTAAGTATAAAAAAGGAAAATTAAAGAAAAAACCTATTAAAGCTTTAGGGCCACCATCAATTCCTTTTTACTACATTCGATATCTCTAAATTTTGAAGACAAATCTTTGGGGATAAACCTCCTAGTAAAGTACTATCGCAAATTGTATGATAGTTTTCCTATTGTTAGGTAAGAAGTTTTTTTTTTTTTTTTTTTTTTTTTTTTAAGGGAAGCCAAGATGTTTTACCGAGGGATAATAAAGTACTAAATTAAAAATGTACAAATAATCTCCTGGTAAATGGAGTTATTTGTATTGACACGAACGTAGCAAAACGGAATTAAAACTGTACATTGCTGAGTTGTCGCCTAAAAGAACCAATTAATTAATAATAAAAAAAGTTGAATATTTTTAGAACAAAAAAAGCTGAAAAGCTCAAACTCTCTTTTCCTGCTTAGTGCATGTAAAATGCATGAAGCACTAGGAATGAGGTAAAAGCAAAAGCAGATTAAGAGGCACTTCGAATATATATATATATATATATATATAATAAATAATAAATAAAATTGAGAGGCGTGGGGCCCACAATACTCAAGTCCTTCAAAGGACAAAACTTCTACAACGGCTGTTACTTAAAATTAGAAAACTGTCCACTTTATCCGACCGTTGAGATTGGCAAAGCCCTCCTTTTCTCTCCACTTGTTTTGACTTTCTTCTCTCATCCTGTGGGCCCCGGCCTTTAGACCAACCAATCCGTTTCTATTGAAGATCCTCCGTGGAATGCAATAAAATATACGGCCCGGATCTTTCGACCGTTGTAATTAAATCCCTTTTCCAAACCCCAAGAAACTCAAAAAAAAAAAAAAAAAAAAAAAAAAAATTCAAATTTCAGACCGTTGCAAGACACCCACCTTAATTCATCTCCTTCCCAGAGCATCCATTACTCAGTCACACTTCATGGATTCACAAGGAGCCTTTCTCTCTCATTCCCTCTTTTCTCTCTAGTACTAAATCATTCCATTTTTTTTTCTCTCAGCTTTTTTTTTCCTTTCTAAATCAGTTTGTAAGAAGAGAAAACGAAAAATGGTGAAAACGGCTTCATCACCATCTTCGTCTCCGGTGACGATCACGGTGTCGTCGGGAGGAAAAGGAGGAAGCCGAAGCATGGGCTTAACTAGCCCGATATCGCGAGCGTCGATATCTAACAACCCAAATTCCCCTCTCAGCGGCAGAGCAGTAAACCGGAGATTCTCAACCGGAGGAAGTAAGTACTGCTCGATGTCGAAAGACGATTCGACGATGACCGAAGAGATTGTCAACTCCGAATTCGTCAGTTACACGGTTCATATCCCTCCAACTCCCGATCACCAGCCAATGTCTGCCTCACAGACCAGCCTAACTGAAGACCTCAACAAGTCGACGATCAAGCCGGAGAGGAGCTACATTTCGAGCACTGTCTTCACCGGTGGGTTCAATGCGGTGACTCGCGGGCACGTCATCGAGTGCTCGATGGAGCGACAGCCGCCGGCGAAAGTGGGGCTGGTTTGCGGGATGAAAGGTTGTGATGAGAAAGCCATCAAAGGGAAGAACATTCCTTGTGAATGTGGGTTCAAGATTTGCAGAGATTGTTACTTGGATTGTTTCGGGAGCGGCGGCGGGCGGTGTCCCGGGTGTAAGGAGCCTTACAAGGACACGAGCGATGGCGATGACGACTATGACGAGGCTTGTTCTGAGGCGGAGGACCAGGCCTTTCCTTTGCCTTCGATGGCTGATGGTAAGCTCGATAAGAGGCTTTCACTTGTGAAATCGTTTAAGGCCGGGAACCAGCCGCCGGATTTCGACCACACCCGGTGGCTTTTCGAGACAAAGGGGACTTACGGGTATGGAAATGCGGTGTGGCCTAAAGACGGGTATGGCGCTGGATTGAACGGATTCGAACACCCGCCGGATTTTGGAGAGAGGACTAGAAGGCCTTTGACCAGGAAGGTTGTGGTATCTACAGCAATTCTGAGTCCTTATAGGTAAGCCTTAACTAACTAAGCTCGACTTTCCTCTTTAAGTTCCAATATAAGAGAGTCTGTTTGAAATAGGTGATAAGGTATCCAAGTTTTTGGCAAAAAGATTAGGTTTTGAATGTATCAAGAAGTTTTAGTTAGTTGACAGCTTAATTTGGTAAATTTACCATTTTCTTTTCTGGCACAATACTACTACAGTTTTTTTTTTCTTGGTTTTCTTTTTTGAATATGAAAGGTATAACACTAGTATCCTTGCAGGTTATTAGTTGCTATGCGTCTGGTTGCCCTGGGATTTTTCCTCACATGGAGAATCCGACATCCGAACCGCGAGGCAATGTGGCTATGGGGAATGTCGACGACATGTGAGCTCTGGTTTGCCTTCTCATGGCTTCTGGATCAGCTCCCTAAGCTCTGTCCCGTGAACCGAGTCACCGATCTCTCCGTCCTGAAAGATCGGTTTGAGTCCCCGAACCTTCGGAACCCCAAAGGAAGGTCCGATCTTCCTGGGATCGATGTCTTCGTCTCCACCGCTGACCCCGAAAAAGAACCCCCTTTAGTCACTGCTAACACAATCCTCTCCATACTCGCCGTCGATTACCCAGTGGAAAAGCTCGCTTGCTATTTATCCGACGACGGCGGGGCACTATTGACATTCGAGGCTCTTGCCGAGACGGCAAGCTTTGCAAGAATCTGGGTTCCTTTTTGCCGGAAGCACAAGATTGAGCCGAGGAACCCAGAGGCCTATTTCGGGCAGAAGCGGGATTTTCTGAAGAACAAAGTGAGGCTTGATTTTGTGAGGGAAAGGAGATGGGTGAAGAGGGAATATGATGAGTTCAAGGTTAGGATAAACTCATTGCCGGAATCCATAAGGAGAAGATCAGATGCATACAATGCACATGAAGAGCTAAGAGCTAAGAAGAAACAAATGGAAATGGGTGGTGGTAATCCTTCTTCGGAGCCTCTTAGGGTTTCAAAGGCTACTTGGATGTCTGATGGCTCTCATTGGCCCGGCACTTGGGCTTCAGCTGAAGCTGATCACTCAAGAGGTGACCATGCTGGTATAATTCAGGTACTTACTTTTCAACTTCTGGATTTCTGTTTTTGTGTATTCATAAACTTCTCTTTTCATCTCTGAATCTTTAATGCACGTTTTATTTTATTCTAGACTTGTTTTGTGTTAACAATTTGGTTCTTAAATTGATATTAAATGTAGCAATTAACTCCAATAGCTATCAGGGGTTTAGTTATGACATTTTGATACTCTTATCCTTATAAAATTATATTCTGTAATTTGATCCTTAGATTACCCATTAACAGCTAGAATTAATTGATGTAAACGAAGAAAAAAAGAAACAAAAATGCAAAACTGTTTAGAAGTGAACAAAAATGCAAAACTGTTTAGAAGTGCAGGTGCTAAAACTTTTTTTATGAGACTAAAATTTAAGTTCTACTTAAAATTTGTGTTTTGTTACTTTTTGTATTCAGGCCATGTTAGCTCCACCAAATTCAGAACCAGTGTATGGAGCAGAAGCAGATGGGGAGAACTTGATAGACACAACAGAAGTGGACACCAGATTGCCAATGCTGGTTTATGTGTCTAGAGAGAAGAGGCCTGGCTTTGATCACAACAAGAAAGCTGGAGCCATGAATGCCCTTGTCCGAACCAGTGCAATCATGTCAAATGGCCCTTTCATCCTCAACCTCGACTGCGATCACTACATCTACAATTCCTTGGCTCTCAGGGAAGGAATGTGCTTCATGCTTGACAGAGGAGGTGACAGAATCTGCTACGTCCAGTTCCCGCAGAGGTTCGAGGGCATTGACCCGAATGATCGATATGCAAATCACAACACTGTATTTTTCGATGTCAGTATGAGAGCTCTTGATGGTTTGCAAGGTCCGGTTTATGTAGGGACAGGTTGTATTTTCAGGAGAACTGCTCTTTATGGATTTAGTCCTCCTAGAGCAACTGAACACCATGGATGGTTGGGTAGGAGGAAAATCAAGCTGTTTCTGAGGAAGCCAAAGGTGACAAAGAAGGAAGAGGATGAAGTGGTTTTGCCTATTAATAGAGATCATGAAAATCACCATAACGATGTTGATGATGATGATGATGGAGATATCGAGTCCTTACTTCTTCCGAAAAGGTTTGGAAACTCCACTTCTCTAGTTGCGTCCATTCCTGTGGCGGAATACCAAGGCAGATTGCTTCAAGACCTTCAAGGAAGAGGCTGCAGCAGCCAAGGAAGGCCTGCAGGGTCTCTCTCGGTCCCTCGCGAACCGTTGGATGCAGCCACTGTTGCGGAGGCCATCAGCGTCATCTCTTGCTTCTACGAGGACAAAACCGAGTGGGGCAAAAGGGTTGGCTGGATTTACGGCTCTGTAACGGAAGATGTGGTCACCGGTTACCGAATGCACAACCGGGGTTGGAGATCGATCTACTGTGTGACAAAGCGTGACGCCTTTCGTGGAACTGCGCCTATCAATCTAACCGACAGGCTGCACCAAGTGCTCCGCTGGGCGACAGGCTCGGTTGAGATATTCTTCTCAAGGAATAACGCATTGTTCGCCAGCCGAAGAATGAAGTTCTTGCAAAGAGTGGCTTATTTCAATGTTGGAATGTACCCTTTCACGTCCTTGTTCCTCATAGTCTACTGCTTCCTTCCTGCGGTTTCTTTGTTCTCAGGGCAGTTCATAGTCCAATCTCTTGACATAGCTTTCCTAGTCTTCCTGTTGGCCATCACCATCACATTGTGCCTGCTAGCAATCCTTGAGATCAAGTGGTCAGGAATCACTCTCCACGACTGGTGGCGCAACGAGCAGTTTTGGCTGATTGGCGGGACAAGCGCTCACCCTTCGGCCGTGCTGCAAGGCCTATTGAAGGTCATTGCAGGAGTGGACATTTCCTTCACTTTGACCTCGAAATCGGCCACTCCAGAGGACGGGGACGATGAGTTTGCGGAGCTCTACACGGTGAAGTGGAGCTTCCTGATGGTCCCTCCGGTGGTGATCATAATGGTGAACACAATTGCGATCGCGGTGGGAGTTGCAAGGACGGTGTACAGCCCGTTTCCGCAGTGGAGTAAGCTTGTTGGAGGAGTGTTTTTCGGCTTCTGGGTGTTGTGCCATCTCTATCCATTTGCAAAAGGGTTGATGGGGAGGAGAGGAAGGGTTCCGACCATTGTGTTTGTGTGGTCTGGGCTGCTCTCCATTATTATTTCTCTGCTTTGGGTCTACATTAGTCCTCCTCCTGGAAAGCAGGACTACATGAAGTTCCAATTCCCTTGATGGATTTTATATATATAGATGATTGTATTGTACGTTTTTGGTGTCTCTCCATGGCAGATCTATTGTTTCAACAAAATGAAGTTTCTCAACTTCGTTATAGTTGGTTGAAGGAAATATGTTGTACTTCTTAGCTTATTATATTCTTTATGTTCAAATGTTTTTATTTGGCGGGTACATAGTCAATTGAAGTATTTCTCTGCGGGATCTTTACTTTTTCAGGGAAAGAACTTAGATTAATATAAATGGGGTAAATTTGTCAAAAGATGAAATACATTGGGGGATAACATCATAACAAGGAAAACCAGAAAAATTACAGAGTTAGCTAGGGTGTTAGCAACTTTGTTTCCAAGGAATCATTTGTTGTTGTTATGCAAATTCCCAAACGCTGACATGTGTTGAAATTTAAATATAGTTTCTCCCATTTCCTCAAACAATAAAACAAAAGCTTGTACCTCATCGCCAAGGAAAAGAAAATAATGGTAGTTGGCCATTATAAAAAAAAGGATAGTCTCCCTTACACTAAACTAACTTCAAGTACGTCATTTAAGCTTTTTGAATTTCATTTTTAAGTTAAAAAACAAAAACATTTGTATTTGGACAAGGAATGCTAACATAGACATATTCACTTTTACTTGTCCATAATGTTTGTGATCTAGTTTTTAAGAATATTTTGTGAGAGGCTCGTCTTTGACGTTACTTCCTCTGCTGTAACGTAAACATCATCGAGAAAAATCATTAGTAGAGCTACGTGCTCATAACAAAATTATGGAACACGATAATCTCACACTTAATTCGTACTTGAAAAAAACTACAACCTCATTTAGTTTCTATATGATTCTGTTATAGTATTTTCATTTCACAAATAATTTGAATTTAAAAGTTTCTTCTCTCATAAATTCCTGCTAATAAATAGAATCATTAACTTAAACGCGTGGACCAAACTGGGTCATTGAAATACATGTCTCACAACAAAGCTCAACCAACATCATAAATCAAAGCTCAACCAACATTGTAAATCTTGTCACTATTGTACCAACGACTAAAGATCATTCATTCATACAGTCACTCTTTTTTTGTTTATTTGTATTTTCAAACCAAGAGCCACTTCCTTATAAACCAATCGGTCTTTTTTTTTTTGTTCATTGAGTTAGATTGAAAGATATATAAAACATAAATTTACCGATGAAAGAGAAATATTGTGTGTCCCTCATCAAGAAGTAAAAAAAAAAAAAGAATGGTCGTTCACTATTATAAAATGAAAGAGAGATATTGTGAGTTAAATTGCTTTTGAATTATAAATTTTTACTTTGTTTTAAAAAAAATGTCTCTCTAATTTAACTCAAACCTCTTTTTTAAGAGAAACAATTATATTAAAAAATTAACAGGGAATATATTCCAAAATAAGAAAATTTAAACGTCAATTCTAATTTACACCGCCTCAAACTATAAAAAAACTAAGACATTAAAAAGCAAACGGTTCCACCAATAAACTTAAATAAAGCTCAAGAGAAATAAATTTATATCGAATTATAAAGTCGGACACTTAAATAGGTATTCCGACGATCGAGTATACACATGAATTTTTTAATAAATCCTTTACGATTAGTGGAAAAATCTAATCGACTGAAACAGAGAAACCTATAGTACCAAGGCCACATAAAACATCATTAAAAAAAATAAATCTAGTAGGCTGAAAACACAGCCTAACATAAAAAATGAAACAGACACACCAACAAATTGGTAAAAAAAAAAAAACCACTGTTATTGCAAACGAAAACACTATAAAAACAAAAACCATAAATGTGGCGGTCTGATGAGATATATCCCTCCAACTGTAATCATACTGGTGTTTTGTGCCATCTCTAACCTTGAAATGAAATTTCTCAACTTCATACCATAGTAAGTAGTTATAGTTGGTTCCTTCAAATTTTAATGTAGTACTACCTTTTTCTATGTTATTTATCTTCCAATGTTCCTTTACATTGGTATATGTGAATTACGATATGTCCACTAATGGTAAGAGTATTCAAAACAACTTCCTAAGACTAGAGAATTTTGCACATTTTATAAGAAAACATTAAAACAGATTTTCGTTATTTACTATCCAAAATATCCGTGAACCATATTCTTGACCCGTGTTTGGCGGGGGGATCTTGTGCCTCTGCATGTTTTTCGTTTTGGCGGTTCACATAAATCTGGTACCATTGTCCTTCTCTGAGTGAATGCACAAGGCTGAAGAGCATGGTAAATGAAATGTACTTACAAATTTTTAAGTTGTCCTTTATTTGAGTGGGAGCAATTTAACAGCGCAAATATTGTGCTAAGTAATATATTGGGAGAAAGAGAAAAATATGCTAAGATTTGAGATGAATTAAAATTAATAGGCCAATAGTTTACATAAGTTCATAAATAGGTCAAATTACTATTTTCGTCCGTAACTTGTCTGGTTATGAACCATAACTTGACAAGTTATTGTTCATAAATCACAATTTTTGTCCATAACTTGTCTGGTTATGAACCATAACTTGATAAGTTTGTCCATAACTTATCTGGTTATGAACCATAACTTAACAAGTTATGACCTATTAATTTTTATAACTAAAAATTGACCTATATACTTCCTTAAGCTTTTCATATTGACCTATTTTATACTATTTCCGTAATATATTTGATAGTTTCGTGCCAAACATGACAAGCTTTCGCCCCTTTAAGCCCTTTCCAAACTGCTGAATGGCTATAACATTTTCTAGACTTCCCATCACTTGTTCTCATTATGAATTCCACATTCATTTCATGTGCGACCTGTCATTAATATCCCGTAGCTTATATACATTCTCCATCTGAAGGAGGCAGTTTGTCACTAGCAATGCCAAGGTTAGATTGTCAAGCTCTTAGACTTCACAATCCCTCCACAGCATGTATTATTGTTTTAGTGTCATATATATGGTGGAAAAGGGGGTCCCAATTAGTCACATTTATTTCGGTGGTCCTGACCTAATGTGAACAAAATGGAGGAAAATGTTAGAATGAGAGTGGGATTGACAAAAACAAAGTTGTTGATAGTCACATTTAAAACCCTTTCTTGGTTCAGTTCATTGGTTGCCAATTCCGTCAAGTATGTAACCATCATATATCCCTGTTGTATAAACTCCTCCACACAATTTAGCATAAGGAATACTTGCTAAAAATGATAACTCTTAAGCCTTTAATGCTAACAAGTTGTCGCTTCTGATGGGATTTTTAGCATTCTATGGTTCCATTTTCTGACCAAGGTAATGGGATTTTCCAAAACTAATCAGACGACAATAAGACCTAGCCCGGTTTCTAAGTTCTAACTCTCTTCTGTGGTTCCCAAATTCTGAGGAATCAAATGGGATTTCTATTAACTATTCAGACGACAATGAGATCTGAGTGAAATTTCTTTTTCCCTATTCATTAAAATATTTTGCTGTATGAAGTACCGGCATAAAAATCCTAACATGGAATTGGTTGAGCAATATAACTGTTATAACTAGTACATTGTTTTGTGAATTTTGCTCTGAATATATTGTTTTCTAGTTAGTAAAGACAGTTGGTAAAACTAAAAATAATTGCCCATTACTCTTTACAAAAATGGTTAGAGGGCAAAAAGGTTTTTTTTTTTTTTTTTGGTTCATTAATTATGGACCAAATTATACTAGCCCCAGATGCACAGTTACAATATGTTTCTGACTAGTCGTAGTACAAAGTAAAATGCTTCGAAATTCGAATTTGTCATCTTGTACCAACCCAACATTACAAAGTCTAAGGTATTTGTGTTTCAGATGACCTCCCTAAATTGATTGATTGTTTTTCCTTTTGTATTCTTCAATAGAGCAATCTCGATTTCAAGCCAAACAGTTTTTCAATTACAAAACGGCGTTATCCCATTGAAAGAAGATGTATCGAGGTGGACCATAGCACCCTGGTCCCCCAACCTCTTAGACCTTATAGGAAAGCTGTTACTAGCTTTAAGTTTTTGGAGGTTCTTCAACAATAAAAATTATGCTCCGTTCACTTCACCGATTCGAATTTAGAATTCGAGTTTTGTTACAGTAAAAAATTCTCAGAAACAGTCACATCTAACTTTTTAGCTACAGTAAAAAGCTCTCACAATCTCAGCTCGAATCAGCTAACTAAACAGATTCATAATAAAATATTGGTTTAAACTTGTAATCTACTTTTTCAAGCACTCTTAACTGTCGGGATTATCTCTTCCAAGTCTTCATAAATCATAACTAGATCTTGACACCAACACCATAAATAACGCTCAACTACAGTAGACCAAGTCCATAGATTTCAGTGATATTTAAAACTATATGTATTTGTGTATATGTAAATGGTCTAAACAAGATTCGGAATAGTACATGGGGGACCAAGTCGATGGTGATGTGTTATGGATCTACAACCCCTGTAACTCTCAACACCTCCTAGAAACCTTTTTGGCATTCTTTGAACTGAGATTATTGTTATTGTATCTCTAAGACCTCATTCATTTCACCGATTTGAGTTTTTAATTTTAAATTTTTACAGTAAAAAGCTTTTAAAAAATGTCACATCTAACTTTTTTTATTACAGTGAAAAACTCTCAGAAAATATCACATCTCAACTTGAATTAAAAATTTAAATTTACGAAGTGAACGAAGTCAATTGATGCTTACTGAGGTGGGTTTTGTTTATTATTAAAAAATGAACATGACGTGTAAAGAATGCACAGTGGCTATTCAACCACGTGAATAACCTACTCTTACTAAACCCACATAAATTTCCTAGGCAGGCAAATAAGAAGGAAACTAAACCTACTCTCTCATGCTTTTGGTTTACTGCTTACTTTAATTAATTAACAGACAAAAAATAAAAATAAAACATGTTGTCAAAATTGGCCAGATATTTTTGGGTCGTTTCTCGGGTACCCGCAACAGTCTTCTAGAATAATCCACCGTACCAAATGATTAGGAAAAAAAATATTATAATGATGGTGACAACAAACGAAAGCTGTGAAAGTCAGATTACTCTTTTTATGATTTCATCCATTCTCTACAACAAGGCAAAAACAAGCGTCTGTTGGAAAGTCCTAATCAGCTTTTATAATTAAAAATATATATATTTTTTCCCCATGAAAGCAAAGAATTAACAAATTGGAAGGAACCGGCGAGCAAGTAGGAGCAGCCAACAATGCCGAAACAAGAGAAGAAACTCATACGCTTCCGAACAGCGTTACGAGTCACCCATGGATAAGCAATTATAGAATAAATCAATCATTTAGGTTTATTGATTGACCATAATTAACATGACCCTCCAAAACAACTGGCCACGTGTGATTCCGGGGCACAAGGAATCGGTCCCTAACCTTTCCTTTGGACATGTCCAAAAGGAATAGTGACATTTGGGTCGCTCCACCACGCCACAATTGAATTCAATCCTATCTATACACATGAATATCATCTTCCTTTCTTTTGCCTTAATTTACACACTTGATAATTAACACTTTTTTGGGTGGCTGAATTATTAAAAAGGTTTTATTATAACGCCGACCTTTTTTCTTTTTTAAAAATGGACCAAATGATCCAAAAAGAAAAATGAAACCATGTGGGAAGAAAAGAAACGATGGAAAGAAGAGGAATATGGGATTGCCACCCAAAGTGCGCAAAGAGACAGGAAGAGGATTATGTGGGAAAAAAAAATGGAAGGTAGCTCACAAGGCCTTCGCCGCTGCCACCGATGCAAATTGTTTCCTCTCTCACGTTGTCTTCGTCTTCTTTCTTATCTCATATTTGTTTGCCTTCAATTACATCACCCAAAAAGAAAAAGAAGATGAAGAAGAAGAAAAACCTTAATAGATTCTTCCAAAGCTAAATTTTTGGCGCTCACAACAGCTGGCAAAAGAAGCGCATTTTTGGGCGACAAACCCACTCGGTTGCTTTTAGCCTTTTTTCCATGGAATTAATCCGACTGTGACGATTGCCCAACAGCAGTTAAAACTCAAACCACCACCCATTCATACGTGCACTCCACCTTGTGTTGTCTAATAATGTGATTCTCTCTCAAACCATCTTTTTTTTTTTTTTTTTGATAATTTCTCTCGAACCATCTTTGAATCCCACTTCTGAATTCTGACTGGATTTATAAAAAAAAAATAAAAATAAAAATAAAAAAGAGCTAGGAAAGATATATAGGCTTCTAGCTTATCAACAATTTGAGCTTGTCCTTGGGATATTATCAGATTGGCCTAAAATACCCTCTTCCAATAGG